ATGTACAAATAAAAGGGGTGATAGATAGTTCGTGGGCACTTTGCAGGCTCATCACCTCATTGTTTGGGAGACTAGAGTAGAAGATTCCATGATTTGAGAGCCTTTTTGTTGGTGTGTATCCTTACAGTAGTAGTGGACCCATACAATATTTGTTCTTTTGTGATTGACTAGTTTTGGTCAATATAATGGTTTCCGGGTCCACCCACGTCATGAGGTTTTTGATCACTCTTAATTTAGCATAAATAAATCTTTCCTCTCTGGACCCAATATTTCAAAAACAATTCTGACTGACATTATAGGACCCAACATAGAGGAATCATGACTACGGCCCTCTTTCTCAATGATAAATGGGAAGAACTGAAATGACTGTTGCTTCTTCCTCAGTTGAGAATAACCCAAGACATGTACTTTTTGTTGGATTTTGTTAAAGGAGTAGACCAAAAATTAAATACCCTGCCACTGAGTGGATTCTGACTCAAAGCAAACCTATAGGACAGAGAAGAGTTGCTCCTTTGGGGTTTCCGAGACTGTACATCTTTACAGGAGCAGAAAGTCTCATCCTTCTCCAGTGGAGCAATCAACCCATTCAAATTGACCTTGCTGTTGACAGATAACACACTAAGCCAGCAGGGGTCCTTAAGAGGTTATAAGTCAATTCAACTCACTTCCAGAGGTCTTTCCGACTCATAGAGACCTTGCAGGACAGGACAGAACTTCCCCTGCTGGTTTCCAACACTAACTCTTCATGGAAGTAGAACGCTTCAGCTTTCTCCCACAGACCAGCTGGTGGTTTTGAACTGTTAACCTTCAGATTAGCAGCCCAAAGCCTAACCACTATAGCACAGTGCTCCTAATGGATTCGCGTCTTAATAATAGTGTAATAAAGTTATCAACTGGTACAAAGACACGAACTATTTTCCCACTTACACAACACTCTGATACGAGGCTCTGGATTTTTTTTTAAGGGTGGGAGGCGGGGGTTGGGTGGGGAAGAAGACTCGAAGACCTGAAGCTGTGGAGAAAGGGGTCAGATTTGGGTAGGGGCGACTGTATCTCTCCGCAGTAGGAAACTCCGGAAGGCGCAGCCATCCCTACTCAGGGCCAAGTCGCCAGGTCCCCAGCTCAGTAGCTGGCGTTGGACAGGGAGGGTGCGTTTGAGGGGACAGAAGGCGGCGCTTTCGGGACCACAGTCCGACCCCTAGGGCCCGG